GGGGGGGGGGGGGCGCAGAAACTAAACAAGCTCCAAAGACAGATTACCTACCTGTCTTTCAGCAAAAAGGGGCCTCTTGTTCAACCTCATGGATCTCACCAGGGCGTTGTGCTTCTGCAAAGCAACATCCACTACCTGGTCCCCGGGGTCCACATCCCCCAGCGCCTTCGTGTCGACCGTGCCGGCGCTGAAAGTGTTTGTTGTAGAGTCACTCAGGTTGAAATACAAGGGCGGCAATGTCCAGGAATCTGACGTCATCGACGTGTCTGACTCCCGCACAGCACTGTCAAATGTCACGCATTTCTTCCCAAACTTGGTCTGACTGCCCAACCGCTGCTGCTGGAAAGGCGCCGCGTGGGTGTCGTGCGACGGGTGGGGGACCAGCGCCTTCTCGAGGAACTCGTCCCCGCCTCCCTCCGTGATGTACACCGCTGTCTCCTTGGAGGGCTGGTCGAAGGTGTGCTTGTGCGCATGCTTGTCGGCCGTGAACTTCCGCTTGTCGAGGTGCTTGATGAAGCAGAGCGTGGCCAGCACGACCACGGCCACGAACAGCGTGACGCACACCATGATGATCACGATGGTGGTGTACGACTCTTTGAGCCGCGGCCTGGACTTCTGGTCCACCACGTCCACTCGGAGCAGGGCCTGCGTGGCCTTCTGGTCCACCCCGTTGTCGTGGACGCTGATGACTATGTTGTAGGTCTGAACGTCCGCCGACGAGAGCGGTGAAATGAGCGTGACCAGCCCCGTGTCCTCGTTGATCCAGAACAGCCTGGGCACGGAGGTGTTGGGGGCGGACAGCGAGTACGACAGTCGGCCGTTTTCTCCGCTGTCGGCGTCGTGGGCGATGACCTTGACGACCTCGTGACCGGGAGACACGTCGAGATTGAGCGTGACGCTCTGATTGTCGGAACCGGGGAAGTCGATGATCGGCGGGTTGTCGTTCTCGTCGATGACGTCGACTTGGATTTCCACGGAAGAATTCCTGGGCGGTTTTCCCTGATCGAAGGCGCTCGCCACGAAACTGTAGCGACGGGTATTCTCGAAGTCCAGCGGTTGGGTCAAGGTGATGGTGCCTTCTGAGACAGATATAGAAAAGGGCGCCTCGGGCTGAAGAGGGGACAGCACAAGCAGGTACTCAACAGAGCCCCCGAGGCCAGAGTCCGGGTCAGTCGCGTGGACGCTACCCACCACCGATCTCACTAGAGCGTTCTCCGAGACAATAAATTTGTAGGACGCGTTCTGGAAAGTTGGCCAGTTATCGTTCATGTCTTCGATTTCAACGATGACAGTGGTCGTCGCCGATAACGGAGAGAGGCTTTCATCGAACGCGTACACCTCGAACGAGTATCTGCTGGTTTGCTCCCTGTCGAGGTTCCGGATGGCCGTGGTGATGGCCCCGTTCGAGTCGTCGATTCGAAAATAGTCCACGTCTGGGGGCAGGGCGTAGCGGAGCCGGGCGTTGGGCCCCACGTCAGCATCTGTGGCGTAGACGCTCCCCACCAGCGCGACGGCCGGTTGGTTTTCCTTAACCCTCATCTGATACACCTGTCTGCTGAACACGGGCGGGTTGTCGTTCACGTCTTCGACCCGGACGGCTAGAACCGAGACGCTCGAAAGAGGCGGGTTGCCGTTGTCCGTGCAGACGACTGAAATCTCGTAGCTGGTCACGATCTCGCGGTCGAGGGGCCTGTCCAAGGAGATGGTGTACTCCTTGGGGGAGACTTTCAGCAGAGAAAAATGGTCGTGCGAGGTCGAGCACCTGGTTACGCCATCATCTCCCAAGTCGCTGTCGATGACAATAACGTAGGCGATGAGGGTCCCCACGGGGGAATCCTCAGCCACTGCAGCGGTGGCGTCCTTCTCCGAATCAAACTTCACCCTGCTGATTGTAATGCTCGGCGGGTCATTGACCGTGTCTCTGACCGTCACAACCACGTCGGTCATTGACCACGGCTGATTGGCGCCGTTGTCGTGAGCTTTCACCTTGAACGTGTAATTGCTCCCGCCCTCACTGACCAGAGACCGCCTTAAGGTTATGTCTCCCGTGTCGGAGTTCATCTCAAAAGTTTCCAGGATCCTGGCGTCCACGTTCAAGGGGAACTCGTAGACGACGCGACCGTTCTCACCCTCGTCGGGGTCGGTGGCGGAGACGCGCAGAACCAGGGTACCGGGAGGGGAGGTTTCATTGACGGTCTGCTCGTATGTGGCCCGGATGAACCTGGGCGTGTTGTCATTGGCATCCTCGACCGTGATGTCCAGCGGAAGCTTGACCGTGTGATCGCCGTCGGTGGCCACCAAGTTCAAATAGTAGGCGTTGGTCACCTCGCGATCCAGTGCGCTGATCAGGCGCAGAAAAAGCGTGAAATCGTAAGAGCCCCCCGACATGTTGACCTTCTGCACGACCAGGTCGAACACGTTGAGACCTTCCCCTTGAAGATAATAATCCCGCACCCGGTTCTCGGGGCCGTCGAGGTCGAAGGCGGAGTTGAGCTTCACTGTTTTGTTGACGGGACTGCTCTCCGAGAAGATCAGAGGCGGGTTCGGGGCCTGGAAGGCCGGGATCTGGTCGTTGACGTCGACGACGTTGACGACCACCGAAACCTTCCTGTAGGGGGCCTGGGGCGACGCAACAATGACAGAAGGGTTCACGGAGCAAAAATCGACCGACTTGTCACACACGGTCTCCCTGTCTAGCACGACCCTGGTCCTGAGATCGCCCGTGGTGGAGTTGATGGTGAAGAGTTCGGTGTGATACAGGAGGGTGAACGTCGTGCCCGGGCCGCCGTGGATGTTGGCGCCGGAAGCTATGTTCCCCACCCAGGCGGGGGCGGGCTGCTCCTCCGTCACGTTGAAGTAGACGACTTGTGTCCGTGAGGATGCGACCAGTGATAGAAGGGAGATGACTAGAAGACTCAGCCTGGAGATCATTTCTGATGATTGTTCTTGGCGTGTAGGATCAAATCATAGCAAAGTCTTTCCTAGGGTAGATCTGTAAAAAAGGGGGGGGGGGAATACATAAAAATAATTAAGAATATTTGAAATGTTTTGCGTTTAGAACACACAGTAAAGACGAAGGGAAAATAACACTCAAATACCAAAGCATCGCTCAATTCCAGTATAGAAAGCAACCCAATGGGGTTAGTGCTCCACAGGGCGGCCAAAGATTTTTGTCGCTCCCACCATTTACAAGAAAAAAACAACTGCATTTTGCCGAAAATGACGTTCTCAACATAAAGAAAAAAGTGCCACCAAAGGTGGACCCTCCCGACGCAGTCCCCCTCCCCACCCCCCTACCTCCCACGCCAATGATAGAATAGGATGTTTGGAAATATAACCAGTGGCCTCCCTCAACTCAATTTCGCTTTTCAATCGCCCCTTGTCGGTAGAACTGTGATCAAACGCCCCTGGGGTGTTTCACTCCAATCTTAATGTAATGGGATTGGTGGGCCTTAATAAAATATCACGATCCACATTTGCATCCAGCACTCAATGAACAACACAAGATAAACCAAATTATGTATTGTGCGCAAATCCTATTTGTCAGCCAAATTAGCTTCTACAGTTCATATATCTAAACAATTTCCAAAGTAGTTAATAGGTTTTAAAACGTTCCCAGAAAAAAATAATACGATTATATAATGATCAAAAGTATTAAATAGATGACCAAATAATGAATAGAGCAAAACAAATTTTTTATTATTATAATTATTAAAAAAAAAAAAGGGGGGGGGGGGGTTTACGAGAAGCAAAAGTTTATTAAAAAAAAATTGTTCATGATGTCTGAACAATTTACAGAAGGGAAAAAACACAACATGATGAAGGGGTTTTGTTACATCTAATCGTGTTTTATGTTATCGGGCGCAGCATTTTTCAGTATCCGCGCAGCAAATTTCCATGTAAATGTGTGTTTGTGGGCTGTAAAACTTTGCACACAACTGTATGATTTTTCACACGAACCAACAAACCTCAGATGGAACATTGGTTGTAGCATATCATTGTATCGGGTGGTAACATCGTATCGGGTGGTAACATATCATAGTATCGGGTGGTAACATTTCATAGTATCGGGTGGTAACATATCATAGTATCGGGTGGTAACATTTCATAGTATCGGGTGGTAACATATCATAGTATCGGGTGGTAACATATAGTATCGGGTGGTAACATATCATAGTATCGGGTGGTAACATATCATAGTATCGGGTGGTAACATATCATAGTATCGGGTGGTAACATATCATCATATTGGGTGGTCGAGAGAAGGCGAGATAGAGGGGTAGTAGCTAGGGGGGGGTAAGGGGGGTGTAGAGATATTACATGAACATAATGAAGTCTGGAAAAAATTTATGACACCAACAAAGTAGTTAAATTTTAAAGTTGTGATGCATGTGTGTGTTGGAGAGGGGGGTGGGTTGAAGAACGGGGTGGGGGTGGGGTGGAGGGGCGGGGTAAAGGGAGAACGCCAAGGGACATTACACTTTATAGAAATGGTTTTTCTAAGGCCAATTCCAAAATGTGATAAAGGAATAATTATAACGGATTGGTTTCATGAAGAGATCGCGATCTGGCGGTGCTGGGATCGAGGCTCCGGGCCATCCAGTTGGCGGGATGGCCAATGGCGTCATCAAAGCGTCAAATTTGAGAGAGAGGCACCGCCAACTTCCCCGTCCTAGATTGCTTCCCTTTCGATCTCAGGGAGATAACTTGGGGCCACTGCGAGAGATGATGGGGACAAAAACTGCACGAGACTTGTAGTTATTTAAATACATAAACGATTGCTTCGTGGTTCTCAAATTATTTTGGCAACAGATCAAATTCTGTTTCTTATTGGCCAGTTGTGTACAACGGGCATTCCTCTGTGACCTATCGAATGAAAGGTGACGCCACAGAGCTGTAATGGAGTCTTTTGTTTACTGCTGCCAATGGGAAGGGTCTACCGCTGATTAATTATGTTACCTATTCTGAATCCATTCCAATGAGTGACAGGGGCAACTCTACAGCAACAGATGTAAAGCCATGTACAAGACTATGGCTGCTGTTGTGTGTAAGTGTACCCATCAACAAGCATGGACAGAATGCGGATCTAGACAAGCAATGACGTAGTGAAGGGCAATTGATTAAATTAAACATCCGATTACATTATCTACAGAAAAATGGATTACGGGGCACCTGTACACTCGTTTATCATTCGACACTGCACGTGAATAAACGAGAACATGAATAAGGAGCACGTAAAGAAAGTAGCACATGAATAAACGATCACATGAATAAGCGATCATATGAATAAACGATCACACGAATAAACGATGACATGAATAAAGGCACACATGAATAAACGAGCACATGAATAAAGGAGCACATAAATAAAGGAGCACATGAATAAAGGAGCACATGAATAAGCGAGCATGTCACCGGCACATGCAATTTCACTCCATGAAATGTAGTTATTCTCACAAAGAATCGTCAAGTAGCTAAGGGAAGTTCATTGGCGTTCCCTAATGAATGGTAACAAACTAGATCGTCGTAGGAAGATCTACTATTGCGGTGACAATGTGCATTCATTTATGAAAAGAAACCATACTTATATTACTTCATAGGTTATGTTCATACTTGTGCTACGTATTTTTGTTTTAAATTGCACGAAATTCAGTAGCGAGTTGAGAGTCCTTGCGTTTCTGGACTAGAATAACCCCCCTTTTGGCAACCCTTGCTCGGACAGCGCCACTTACAGGCGCATGCATCGGCCATAATTTAAAATAATAATTGGGATGCAAGGGACAGAGCTGGTCTCTTGATGCTATCGGGTGAAATATGACCTGCCGAATGGTGGAATTAGAAAACATGCCGGAAAAAAACAACAAAAAAAACCCCTCCTCTTTCGGGACCTCGAGCGGCACTAGAGAGCTTCCCGAGTTTCATTGGGTTGCGAGAATTGCTAGATTTATGGCTCGTTGTGTTATCCCCTGAGTGAGAATTGAAGCTGAAATGGAAAGAACTAAAAGAAGAAGATGGGATTGGGATAACGGCAGAATCTCAAACTGTAAAGATTTTTGCGACGAGAAGGAAGGAATCTAAAATTATATCTCTCGTGGGATAACGACAGAAACTATGGGACAACTCTGGACGTGAAATAAAGAATCTCAAACTATATCTCTCGAGTTATGGCAGTGTTCAAGAAGCTGTCTTTGTTGAGAAAGACAAACAACGAGGAAGAGCTACTCAACAATCAAAAGTGGTCAGGGTCTGTAACTATACAGTAGGAATAACGTTAAGATTAAACCTATTAAAGTAGTGGGAATTTAACGAAATTAATATTTAAAAAAAAAAACAAAAAAAAAACAAAAAAAAACTGGGATAAGGTACTGGCATGGAGTTGGTGAGAGCAGTCAGTGAGAGCAGTCAGTGAGAGCACTCGGGATGCTTTTGGAACATGGAAATTCCCTCTCCTGAACATGGATTGGAAAAATAAATTTGAGTCGTAACTGTGTTTAAATGGCTCAGCTGTAACAATTCTTTTGCTGCCCTCTCGGATACTACTTCTACTTCTCAGCTACGTGCTATGTTTAATTTTAATTCTTTTTTTTTCTCTTTTTTTTTCTTCTGTTGTTTGTTCGCTGACGAAGGCTTCCTGTCGACATGTTCATTTTTTTTGTTTTGTTTTGTTGCGTACCTTTTTACAGGTTTGACCTTACTTTGTTTTACGCATTTCCTATTTTGCTAACATGATTGCAGTCTCTCCCCCTTTTTTTACCAGCTATAACAGAGTCCGGTTTAGAATTCAATCACATGTGGAAAGTCCAGCTCGAAACTGCAACCAAGTGAGACGCTAGTTGTATTATTTCAGTAGTAAATGCAATAAGTTACTATTGTCTTCAGGTTAGTCAACAGTTTCCCACTACAATTGTCTCTACAGCCACTGCTGAAGTACTCTTAGTACTTAACGTGTCCATCAAAGATCCGGGCGATAAGCCACGGGTACTTGGTTACAAAAACACCCACCGGACGATGACGAACGGACAAAGCAGCGGTCGGCGTGCGGTCCCTTGTGACCACTGGGGGGTTTCTCGGCGTGGCCGGCTTGGAGCGGGCCAAATATTTAGCGATAGCCCCGGGTCGCGAATGACAGCGTTCCCACTACCGGCAATCGGGCCTGTCATCGCTGGCTTGGGGGCCCCCTTCGGATAATTGGACGAGTCGCCTTTTCGACGTTTGGCATCCTGACTGAAGCAGTAATAATGGCTTACACTGGCGCTGTGGTTAAACTACTGCTGGCCTGACGGAATGAAAGATGTCTGGTTTCTATTCATTTGAGCTTTCATCGGCTTCTTCCACTTCTACAAAAGCGAAACTTAAACTTTTTTTTATATTAAACTGGCAGGGTTTATGTTTGTGTGTGTGTGGGTGTGTGTGTGCGCGCGTGTGTATGTGCGCGTGTGTATGTGCGCGCGTGCGTGTGTGTGGATAGCGCTAGTTGAGAAACTACTACTTAATTGATATCGAAGTTGTTGAAAGGATGGAGTGCACACAAGACAGAGATGTCGGCTGGCTTTTAACACACAGCACCACAAAATCTACATCCAAATATAATATGACGGTTCGAAACTTTTAGGTAATAAAATTCAATAAGACGCGATTGGCAAAAACAAACTTTTTTTGTCTGGACATAAATTTCGATTTTTAAAAAAAAAAAATCCCGAGTCTCAGAGAAAGGCTTGTAACACATGTGAAAATGTGTTTATGTTTAAAACAAAACACACGACAACGGAATTTTTAAAAGTGCACGTGCTGACTGCATCTTTACGGTAATGTTGTAATACCGCACATGGTCACGCGATGTCCAGACTATTTGTTATTGGAACATTTCCACCACACGTAAACTTTGCTGACCATCCGTGATAGTCGTTCAGCCATATGATTTTTAACAGATTCAAAAGAAACGGGGCAGCTCATTGACATATTATTATTGAAAGTGTTCGTTGAAAGACACACTAGAAGTTAGAAGTTAACGCTTAGTAAAACAACAGCATAACAGAGTCATCTTTTTAAAAATTGTAGTAGAGTTCATTTGCCCTAAATATTAATGTGCTAGTAGAGTTCATTTGCCCTAAATATTAATGTGCTAGTAGAGTTCATTTGCCCTAAATATTAATGTGCTCCGAATAGTTACTTTTAAATATGGAGAAAAACTTTTTATATATAAAGACGCAAGTAAATAGTTTAAATAATACTCTAAATATGTATTTGTTGAAGTATCTTAAAATGTGTGGTAACTGTAACATGGAGAGCATAAAATACTTTGATTTTTAAAATGTATACGAAAAATGTAGATCCTTAATTCTTAACAAACTTAAAATGATTAGAGAGAGAGAGGGAGAGAGAAGGAGAGAGAGAAATAGATAGATAGATAGATAAAGAGAGGGAGAGAGAGAGGGGGGGTACGCGTCAGTAGTTAAAGAGCATATTATATATCAAACAAGTGCTGGTCATTCAGGGGTCAGTCGCACAGGATGTAAAAATCATTACTGCAGTACATGGCAGGGTCAGTCTGGACTCACGCGCCAGGCATCACTCAACATTGTCACGTTAGAATGATTTGATGAGCAGATGTAGCAGTACACGCGTGGATAGGATTCCGACGTGGGGGGGGGGGGGTTAGTTTTGTGGAAAGGTGATGCATGAAGGGAAAAGTAAATGAAAAAAAACAACCAAAACAAAGAAAAAGAGTTTAAAGAANAAGGGGGGAAACAACATGTTTCAGCAAGGCTGTATCAGGTGAAACATTGTTAGATTGCAGACAAACCGTCTGTACGCTTTTAATAAAAAACATAGCTCACCTTATTTACTGTCTTTTTTTTTTTTTTTTGGATGTGTTTTTGGTCTTTGACTGAATTTATCGACACACGGTTCTGCAACTGATGCAGAGTGACCATGTAACATTGCTAAAGTTACGTGTTTGTTACTTCACCGTGTACTGCAAAAGTATTATACATGTCATGTCTTAGCTATCTGCCAGGAATTACTTTTTAAAAAACTTTTTTCCCGACTTGTTTACTTGTTAAGTCTTTATTATAAAATATCAGCATTGGAAAAAACACAAGGAGGATATGCAACAAGCGCATATAAATACTTATTAACTTAAAAAAATATTTATATACTTAAAAACAGTACGGGGGGGGGGGCGGGGGAATTAGTGAATCAATAACGCCCGCATTGATATGAAGCCTTGTGGTATTCTTATTTAATCTTACTGGATTGCGCACATGTAGAACTGAGTAAAAAGTCTTGAAAATGGCGCAAAAAATATTGTTATTATAGTTACAGAAAAACAGAAAAAAAAGGTTTAGGCAATTCAAAACCTTGGTCAATGACAACACAATGAGTCAAGGTTTACTCAAAAATATAATGTGAAAACCACAGTTTTTTTAATTCAAGAGCTCTGCAAGACTTATTTAACAAAAATTCAAAGCTGTTACAGAGTCCGCGAAGGATAGGAAACCGAATTTGTTTTTCCAACACCGCTGTAATGAGAACGTTGGGTGAGGATTGCATAGTTGACTTATATTTTCATATTCTTTGCACTGAGTTTAACACTGAAAAAAAAAAGGGGCGGGGGGGAGAGAGTGAGAGAGAGCGAGAGAGAGAGAGAGAGAGAGAGAGAGAGAGAGAGAGAGAGGGGGGGGAGAGGGAGAGAGCTCATTACGCTTTTAAAAAAGTTCCCGCACAGACTTTCCCCAAAAATACGAAGAAGTTGACTCTCCCCATCCTCCTTTTCCATTGTGTTCTATTGGCAGGGGGGATAGTGTTTGTATATCATCATAAAGTGAGTTATGGCCGCTGACAAAAAGCAACATACATTTTAGACAAGGTTTGTTTACACACAGTCTTTCACAAAGATAAATGAGCAGCTGATTAGCTGGGAGGGGGGGTTAAAATAGAAGCCTAGGACAGCGGCTCTCAACCTGTGGGTCGCGACCCCTTTGGCGGGTCGAACGACCCTTTCACAGGAGTCGCCTAAGAAGCGGAGGAAGCAACGAGAATAATTTTGTCTTGTGGTTGGGATCGCCACAACATGATGAACTGTATTAAAGGGATGCGGCATTAGAAAGGTTGAGAGCCACTGGCTTAGGATCTACAACAACACAAAAAAAACCTGACAATTACTGGAGGGCAAAACGAAGAGCGAATAAGACTAGAGTTTAAAAAAAGGGATAATATAACTTTATTGTTCTCCGGTGTAAAGAGATACCATGATGAAGTTAATCCCGCCCCCTTTTATTTTCTTTCCAAAACGTACATAGAACAGCCAATGATTTGAAAAAAAATATATGTATATCTAATAAAATATTCTTATTGAAGTTCTGTGGGGGAAACGCAGATTTTTTTAAATTTATAAAAAAAATATGCGTATTAATGGCATCAAAATGTGTGTCAGTAAGACGCCTGTCAAAGGTCAACAAACATAAGCTAAAAAGGTGGAATATGGAGGCAACATTATCACTTCATATGTATGATTTACGCAGGGATTATCATGGGCGATACCAAATATTTTAAATTAGCCATAATCGGTTTATATATATATATATATGAACCGATGCAGGAATTATAATGGGTCATACCAAACATTTTTTTAGCAAGCCATAATCTGAGGTCACTCTTCACCATCAGTTGTCGTCACGGTAAGGATTAAGTTAACTGTTACAGTGAATGGTGGAAGTGGGGGGGGGGGGGCTGGGGTGAAGGGGGGAGGACCACGGGCTTACTATACTCGGGGCCAGTAGCGGGCGCAAACTGAGCAGGAACACAAACAAGTGGAGATGTAGTGGGGCGGCAGATTATAGTCAAATCTTCGTGTCAACGCAACGGGATGGAATGTCCAAGTCTCCACCATCTCAGGTGTGATAGCGGTGGTGGTGGTGGCAGTGGCGGATGGGAAGGGATGGCGGCGCCTGGAGCTATGTGGATGGTTAGCCGCTGCCCCTAGAGATTACACCGCATCGCCCATACTGCTTTAGACTATGCCGAATGGTGGCGAAAAACTAGGAATAACGCATTATTACATAGGGCTACCAACGAAATCAACCCTAACAACACACAGACATACAGTCTCATAGTCCGTTTATAAGACTGTGGAAGAATGGGAAAGGAGAAGCATTTAAAATGCACACTGATCATATTATATGAAGTTGTTGGAGTCAGGCGACATGCCGATACATTATTTTGGCACCAGGCGAGGATATCGTTAGTTTGTCGTATTTAAGACTAGGCGTATTTTAGTTCTCCTGCTAGCACCCATCGATGTGCTCTTATCACGTGATACCGTTATTTGGTTGTGCTCACCATCTACCAGTTGGGTCTTAAGTTGGAATATAGTAAGTTCTTAGTATGATTGAAAATGAACACGTTCCAATTATTAGAGCTTCCATTGAGACTATTCTAAAAGCTATCAATTCATTTTGTGGGATACATTAAAGATTACGGGGCAGGAAATCAACGATGCCCAACCCATGAGCCATGATACACAGCTTCATTGTGATAGGTAAAAATGTAATTTTGCCAGAAATCAACTGTCCCCAACCCATGAGCTATGATACACAGCTTCATTGTGATAGGTAAAAATATAATTTTGCCAGAAATCAACTGTCCTCAACCCATGAGCCATGGTACACAGCTTCACTGTGATAGGTAAAAATGTAATTTTGCCAGAAATCAACTGTCCTCAACCCATGAGCCATGGTACACAGCTTCACTGTGATAGGTAAAAATGTAATTTTGCCAGAAATCAACTGTCCTCAACCCATGAGCCATGGTACACAGCTTCACTGTGATAGGTAAAAATGTAATTTTGCCAGAAATCAACTGTCCTCAACCCATGAGCCATGGTACACAGCTTCAGTTAGAAGTGTGTGAGAAGGTGGACAGCGACGTTCACTATCCACCTCCCTGATCACACGGGGTAGCGTGACGGCAACCAAAAAAAAAAAAAAATGCAAGTCGTTAAATTGGACGCCAGGTAGGCTGATAAAAGCTTTGTGCTGCCCTTAACACATAATTAATTCATCTGGCCGACTCCGTGTTGGAAATCTGGCTGCGGCGAAGCGAGCCTTGTCCCTATTCTGTTGTATTGATTTCCCATCTGTTTGTCATCTTCTCACTGGCAGTTTATTAAATTATGACGGAATATTCAGGAGACAGAGCGGTGAGGGCATGGCAAATGACCGTGTTTCTTGGTTTGTCTTGAAATATTTAAATATGAGTAAGTCATAACTCGAGGTTCTCTCTCGATCAGCTTCACAGCTAGATTTAATATACCTTTAAATAATTAGATTGTCAACATGTGCCAGATGGCGAAAGATATAATAATAAAACTTAATTAGCAATTTAAATATTTTATTTAAAAAAAAAAAATAAAGTTTTGGGAAAATGCAACATGATTCCATTTCGCAAAGCTCTCACTCCTTTAAAACATTGGATTCAAAATATAGGTGGGAATATAATTATGTATTTATTTATTTAGGAATTTTTATATAGCGCTTACCTTAAAGCTCTAAGCGCTTTACAATTATTAAAAAACATGTAAACTAAGTAAAATAAAAAACCAAAGAAACTAGGATAGTAACTACTATACTGTAGAAACAATTAAAATGGCTATAAAACGAGGACACTTTGTTATTAGAGTCGAATGTGATACGAGTCTGATGGTAAGATGGTTTGTAACCTAGAGAATGGAACAGTTGGTTGAGTCAGGGAATTTATTGTAGAGATTTTGTAAAGAAAAAAAAAAAAAAAGAAAAGATGCTATGTATATGTCAACTGTCATACGAGGAAATTGGAAGGTTGAGGGAATGAAAAGGGTGTTGGAATGAGAGGGGAAAAAAATCCCGTGGGACTGGGAGGCAATAAACTATTTGGTGGGGTCAGAGGTGGGTGATTTGGGAGTGAGAGATCGTGAGAGCATAGTCAGAAAGTGATTGTATTTGGGAACGAAAGACGATGAAAGAAAATATATGTCTAATACGTTATAAGTGACAGGAAGGTAGATAACAAACAAAATGGAATACGCGTCAAGGCGCAAACAATGAGTCATGAAGGAGTGTGGAGGGAAAAGACTTGAGAAACAAGACTTTTTAAAAAGTTTAAAAGAAGAATACGAGAAGGAACAAATAAAATTAAAGTAAAGGAGCGAAGATAGAGAATTAAACAATTAATATATATGTATATAAAGTGAGAGATAGAGATAGATAGAGAGAGAGAGAGAGAGAGAGAGAGAGAGAGATAGAGAGAGAGAAAGAGAGAGAATAAAGAGAGAGAGAGAGAGAAAGAGAGAGAGAGAGAAACAGAGAGTAACCAAAGAAAAATTAAAATGTTATCCTACGTGCGTGTACTCTAGCTTCACTACAGTGTACAGTAAACCCGTGCGTGTACTCTAGCTTCACTACAGTGTACAGTAAACCCGTGCGTGTACTCTAGCTTCACTACAGTGTACAGTAAACCCGTGCGTGTACTCTAGCTTCACTACAGTGTACAGTAAACCCGTGCGTGTACTCTAGCTTCACTACAGTGTACAGTAAACCCGTGCGTGTACTCTAGCTTCACTACAGTGTACAGTAAACCCGTGCGTGTACTCTAGCTTCACTACAGTGTACAGTAAACCCGTGCGTGTACTCTAGCTTCACTACAGTGTACAGTAAACCCGTGCGTGTACTCTAGCTTCACTACAGTGTACAGTAAACCCGTGCGCCTATTATTTCCCAGAGAACTGCGGCAGAATTTGTTCAAATGTTGACAAGATCAGTGGCGGTGCTACACCAGCAGGTTAACCTGTCCGAAGGATCCGGCTCTGGTCAATAATCCTGCACGACTGCTGGCAAATGAAATCCACTAAACTGTATCTAAATCAAGCGGTGCTGGACGTACTACCGGATATTGATCGGCTATGGCTTGAACAATCTCCTGTTTGGAATTCACGAATCTAAATTGACAATCTAGAAATTAAATTTTCAGCTACCCCCCCCCCCCCCAAAAAAAAAAAACAACAACAAAAAACAACAACAATACAACAAGACAAAAAAACAACAACAACAACACATCAAGTTATTCAATTATCTAAAGAATGCAAGAGGCAAAATTCTAATGCACTATTTAATGACAAATTCTCTGGGTGTCTGTTACTTGTATGATATTAGGGCTGATCACAGTAGTCTCACTATGGTCATTACCTAAGTGTCGGTCAGTCCTCTCATTAAAATACTTGGCCTTGGCCTTTTTAAATGAAAGTAAGTAAACACTCACTGAATGAATAAATGGTATGCCGAAAAAGCCTTGAAACTGTTCTCTGCAACTATCCGGCTAACAGAATTTAATATCAAGAAGTTACTTGTGTGGTGAAAACAAATAAATGCATATATAACAGGTTCCCCAAATCCAAAACACGACGTCCATCAATAGAGTCCAGTTACAACTGCACCGCGGAAGACGATGGGTACGCAAGTGTGACCGCCATCACCCCCCCCCCAACCCCCACCCAACTTAAAAAAAAACAAACACGGAACCTGCCAATCGGCTTGAAGCAGGGGCGGGCCAAAGTCCTGCCTGGTGCGCGTGGAGACATTTCGCTACATGACCCCGGAGGATCCGCTCGCATGCGAGCCCGGTGGAGTTGTTAAAAAGCAGGATTAGCCACCGAGCCGAAAACTGGTGTTTGAACAAGGTGTAGAGATTAACAGGAACACGGCCCAGGTTTAATAGATTCCCACGTACGTTCAACTTTTCAGACTATTAAGAACGGGAGTTGACCAAAAAGCTGACCGTTTCAACCCCCCCCCCCTCCTTTCTTCTTTAATAAAATAAATAAATCCCAGAGGTTCTCGGATTGAAACTTCATCGAGGCCAACTTAAGTTTAATTCACTTAGGCTTAGGAGGTTCAGAAAATACTGGGCAAATGAATTCGGAATCGGTGGTACCAACAACGCACAACGTCAACGGAGAGGTGAATCCATGCATAAGAAGAGACTAAGAGTATGTGAAAAGAATATAGACTATAGACATATGGTCCTCAGAATATTATATAATAAATAAACATTGTTGCACCAAATCACCTACAGGTTTGGACCCTCGATTTTTTTTTTTTTTTTTTTTGGTAAGAGATGTACCGAACAATGGCAAATAATATGAAAATATCTAAACAAAAGCACTCAGACCATGTATCGACTGGGATTGTTAAATACATGGGCTATAACACCGTGGTACGTGTTTCATGACACCATTTAAATACATAGTCAAATACACAATCATAAAGTCATTTCACGGAAACATGCACGGCACAGAAGCCTTCAAAGGCGCCCTCTCTGAGGCATTCCCAGTTAGCAGCACAATGAAACAAGGCTGCGTACTTGCACCAACGCTCTTGTCCATTTTCTTCTTCGGTTTGCCTTCAAGGACTGTGAAGGCAGAGTGTACATCAATACCAGATCTGATGGTAGAGTGTTCAATGGCGCACACTTTCGTGCAAGGCAAAGACCAAGGTAAAATGGTGTTAAATCAGGAACTGCTGTTCGTTGACGATGTCGCCATAACATCGCACACAGAAGAAGATCTTCAGCGGTTCAGTTTATCGCCTCTCCCACGCATTAAGGAGTTAGGACTGACCACTAGTATACGGAAAACAAATATCTTGACGCAAGAAACGCAGCCCCTTCCAAACAATACCATTGAGGGCCATAATCTGTCAGTAGTTGAGAGTTTCACATACATATGGGTCAAATATCTCTAGCTCACTCTCCATTGACGAAGAGGGAGGTGAACATCAGGATCGCAAAGGAAGCAACTATTATGGCTAAATTGAATAAGATGGTGTGGAAAAATTCTAAACTCACTGAGAGCACCAAACTAAGCATTTACCAGGTATGTGCGCTTAAACACGTTCTCCGCTCTTAGCAATCAAAAGACACCTTCGCTGGTTAGGGCACGTAAGGAGAACGGAGGAAGACCTTATTCCAAGGAATCTGCTTTTACGGAGAGTTGGCTGAAGGGGCAACACTTATTGGACGGCCGTGGCTACAGTTTAAAGACGTTTGCGAAAGAAACATGAGGGAAGCCAGCATGGAAGTCAACGATTGGGAGATCATCGCTGAGCCCCTTTCCAGCTTGCGAGCAGCGTTGCATGAGGGAGTCAAACAGGCAGCAGATTGGGCTAAATAAAGCCCTTGAAACAAAAGGAGCATCACGGCATGCCACAGTTAAGTTTCTCCTGCGAGAAGTGCACCCGAGACTGTCATTCAAGTTTATGTATATATCCCCATTGTAAAAATTGAGTCACGTCACTCGCACGATAGAGCACAAATACCATCAAAGAATAAATACTATTGATCTTGTTGCTTGCCTGTATGCATCGGTTGACTTTCATTTCTGTTAAAGTGGTACCAGCCAAGCCCCTGACAAGGTTAAAGGAGACCGGTTTATTTGGCTTTGTCATGACTCAACAATCAATGTAGCCCCAAACCCACTCAAAGAAAAAAAAAAGCAGCAGCAAATCAATAGCTGACCATGACCAATGGCACTGACCCCGTGACCTAATTCTGACCTACTTGTTGGAACCAATCTCCACGTCAAGAGCCAGATTCACCTGTAGATAACACCACGTATTGTCATCGTAGCCACCCGCGGCTCCGAGATTGCTATCTTCCATCTCCACTGGCCGCTCGGACCATTGTGGGGCCCTGATGAGTTGAGCCAATGTAGCCTTTAATATACACCCCCCCCCCACCCATCACACACACTACGAAAGGTTCATTTCCACCTGAACCAGGAACCCCATCAATGAAAATAGCACACGTCTCACCCAGACTCTGGTGTGACTGTTGGAATCTAAATGGATCAGAAGATTTCTTCTGCGTTACTCATAAAGGTAGTGGAGATCAAACTTGTCACTATTGGGAGGGGAGGAGGGGTGGGTGGGGGTGTTCTATGATCACTGGACCATGTGATACGTAGGTCGGTGGGGTGATGTGTTTATCTATGAGACTGAAATATTTATATTTATTGGTGACTGAATAAGTTAAAGCAAGTAAGTATTAAAAGAATATGCATGTTTGACCAAATAAGATTTCATTCACACCTTATAACTGCATCTAGAGAATAGACAGATTAAACCTATAGGAGCCCAGAAATCCGTCACTTCTATTGCTGCCCACAGATACTACTTACCAGCTAAGTGCTATTTCTTATTTTTATAACGTTTTTTCTGTTGTTTTGTTCGCTGACGAAGGCTTTCTGCCGACACGTTCGCTGTTTTGTTGCGTTTAATTTTTCAGGTTTAACCATACTCTGTTTTACTCATTTTAAGAAATCCGTCACATTTGTATCTCGCGACGAAAACATGTCTACCTTTTTTTGGGGAATATTTTGGAGAGTATATTAACATGAAGAAATAAAATGACCTTCCAAAGGTATCCTGGATTAATAATATGCATCATTAAAAATATCACGAGAGCACCTTGAACGTAATATAACACTAGTGCCTAAATACGGCTTGCATCTTAACTAAAACAAGATATTCTTCTAGCTTGGACAGCGGAATGGGAGTCATGTATTTTATGCCAGGTGTCAGCGTCACTTTTGGTATAATATTCATTTTTTTTGTTGTCTCCATTAATTGTCGGATTATTTATTTAAGCATACAATTTACACAGCATAATATGGCGTCATAGGGCACGCTCGGAGTCGCTTATTCGGAGTCGTATTGAAAATTACACGATTTCAGCTCCTTATATTGTCATTGATCAAGCTAACGCACAAAAACTTAAGAGCCGTCCATCCATATAATTAGGATAGAAGAGGCTGTACAATTTCTCAGAGCTTTGTTTCTTTGACTCGGCTAGGTCCGGCGATCTATTTAGGACACCCGGAGAGGAGTAGACACAGTGACTAACCAACAGCCCATTCAAGCAGCCAATCAAAATCCAACACTGTTATAACCTCAATATTTAACTTAATTAATTGTACAGGCATACTGTATTTAAATAATTTATTTAAAAAAAAAATAAAATAAAAATAAAATAAAAATAAATTCTACGCTGGTATGTTTTTTTTTCTTCCGAAAAGCAATTCATTTGTGAAACCTCCAACCACTCAAAAGAGACCTTCCAACATATTATTGTATGTCTCCTGCGGTCTGGTACTTTTTCTTGAGAAGAGAGAAGCGAAAGTTGACTGCTAGCCCCCCCCTCCCCCCCAATCCTTTTTTTAAACTCCCATAAATGCCTTTACCGCGTCTGTACCGCCTTTTGATTTCAGGGTGTGATCGGCGATAAGTAAATGACTTCGACGACAGCTCGCGGTTACAGCTTTCGCCTAATGTCGCCCCGAGAGATGGCCGAACTCCCCCACAATTGAATTCTTTTATTGCCTACTGCACTCGAGATGCGCTCTGATGAGTTTTTCAGCCCGCGCTCCGTCGTCGGCAGGAACATTAGAGCGATTAAGCCCACGAGCTCTATTTAGAGTACGGCGCTTTGATCTATGAAAGAAGTCCCTTCGAGGGACCTTATCCCTGGTCTGTTAAAACCTCCCGTGGGATATTTGAACAGTTACTTTCTTGCTTATCCTATCATTTAGGACGGACTGTATTATCCCGCAATTTGAGCTAAATGAGAAATCCGGAGGGTGTAGAGAAATTGTAGAGGGCGTATTACGATTCTGGATTACCGCTGTCGATAACATACACGTCAGAAATGTTGGGATACGAAATATTAAGAACAAGAAATGGGGAGGTTTAAAATAGAGGAAAAACCAACAATCTGGCGTTAAGACAGAACTATCATACTACAGCAAATAACAGCAACAACCCCCCCCCCCCCCCAAAAAAAAAAAAAAAAAAAAAAAAAAAAAAA